AGAGAGAGAGAGAGCTAAGAACTAAGCCCAAAAGGGTATGAAGAATAAATGGCTACAAGGCACCTAGATTTTTCTTCTTAGCATTATAAGCGAAAGGCTCCATCTCCCTCCCCATCTTCAACATACAAAACCCCACTTGTTTTGGTGGCTCTACCAACAGTGGCATCATGAGGTTCACACCAAACATCTGCACAACGTTTGGTTGCTGGACCACAGTAGAAACCCGTGCTGTTGCTGCTGGCTGTCATGCTATAAACTCCAGCAGGAATAGCTGTACTGCTGTCAGAGAAGGGAGAGTGAGAGAGAGATTTGCAAAGAAGGGAGATGGAGAGAGATGGTGGCCAGGAGAGGGATTTGGGACTAGAGGAGAGAGAGGCATGCTAGGTTTTTGTTGTCTTTGGGTCACGTCTTCTTCAAACTATCCCAGCCACATTGAAAGCTTTTCCATAATAAGGGTGGTAGTCTACATATGTGTGGAGAGAGAGAGAGAGAGAGAGAGAGAGAGAGATGTGAAATCTGGTGGCTGAGAATGTGCCATTGAAGACCATTTACTGTTGGTATAAGCATGTCACAATCACATTTAGCTATTAGATGTGGAATAGGGTGGCTAAGGGTGTGTCATTGACTGGGTTCAAAGTCCCAAAAATTTTTCTTTAACTTTATGACACTCAAATTTCACATCTGATGGCTAGTGCTAATTGTGACCATCTTATACCAAATGTGTGTGTGTGCGTGCGCGTGTATGTATGGGGCATGTTGCCGTGGCCATGTGTGTATAAAGGGCATGTTGCCATGGTCAGTATCTCTGTACTCCAGCTTATGGGGAAGTTATGTAGTATTCATTGCGTTTTATGTAATTGTAGCTAAGTCATTTGATACTTTTCTATTGTATGTATAACGTGCCCATCTTTGTGAGGTATTTATGTTCATGTATATAACTATTATAAAGTATAATGAGAATGTACCCATGTGGGAAAAACCGAGCGATCTAATTGGTAACCGCCTCGTTAGATCGGAACCTGAAAACATGCCTGTTCTGGTTTCAGGAGGTTTTGGTGATCAGTCGGTATTTTTAAAAAGAATTAAAAAATATGTATGTAAAATCCCAAAAATAAAGAATTCTTCACTTTTATATTTTTCATCTTTTTTGAAAATTTTTAAAATACCCCTAAACACAAATCAATTCTTTAAAATCTATGTTTTTCATTAATTTTCAATTTCATTTGAAAGTGTTTTGTTTTAATCATTTGTTACATGGTTTTCATATTTTAGTAATTTTTTTTTGTATCTTTTTTATTTTTTTCAATGATTTTTTGACCGCTTGAGACTTGCTCGATTAGAACGGTTAAATCGGCTGGTTTACCGGTTAGGCCGATTAAGCCGCTTCTAGGCCCATGTTCGGTTAACTTTTCCGGTTGAATTTTGCGAACATTGGAATATACACAAAGGTCATTGATATTTTTGCTGATACTTATTTTAAGAGCTCATATGTTTCCTTTTTTTATTTTTGGTGGAATCCTTTTATGGATGTTCTGCTAAAGCTTTAATGATATATTGTGCTTGGAGTTTAGTGTTTTAAAACTTACTGACTTGACTCGTGGCACGCTCATGGGATCCTAAATACATGATGTTCTTGATTAATCTGTAATGTGAACTAAAAGTGGTACTTAATTTTATCTGACTATGTAGTTATATTTAATTTATTAACTTTGGCAAATGTTCTTTTATTAAGTTCCATGGTTATGTTATTTTATCTTTGCCATTGGGTCACTTGGATTTGATGTGATTGAACTTGACGCACAAAGTATATAGAATAAACTCATGCTCTCCTCAAGTATGAGTTGAGTTTTGAGTTTATTAGTTATGCTTCCCCTTAAGTGTGGCTCCAATAGACGATAAGATGAGCGAAAGTAGACCCAGGTGATTTGGCCATTTGCAGCACAGACCCAGTATAACACCTGTTAGGTGGTGCGAATTGGTTTAAGTGGAAGGCTCAAAAAAGGCAAGGGGTGGGCCCAAAAGGACATGGTTGGAAGCAGTGAGAAAAGATATGGGGACTTACAGCCTCACTGAGGGTATGATCCTTGATAGAGCAAAATGGCAGACCAAGATTTATATAGTCGACCCAAATAGTTGGAAAAAGGCTCTGATGATGATGGTGATGATGATGAGTTGTGCTTACCCTTCTGCCAAAACCTTGTATAGCCACAACAACTAGTTGTTTTCGTTTGTAATGCATTCCTTGTGGAATTGTTCTCATTGCATTAGTGCCCTTTAATTTTTTATGATAGTTGTTAGATTCAGTGCTTAAAAACTTGATGCGTCGACTTGGGACTTGAGTCATGAGCTGACTTGCCTTGGGACCATGGCAAGTTCCATTAAAATACCAGGGGACTCACCTGAGTCTCACAGTGTTAAAACCCTACACTGTTGTGTTTCCATGGACTTGGCCTAGTCTTCTTGAGTCTCGGTTGAGTTGGCTTGTGCAACTGGGGCTCGGGACCCTAGTGAGGCCCAGCACTGAATGGGGGTTTTTAAACAATCCTTACAATGAAACATCAACTGTTTTTTGCAATGTTGATGTTTCTTGGTAATTGTACTGCAAGTATGTGGACATAATTTTGTTAGTTCTTCAGATTTCAATAGGTATGGGTGTTTTTAGTTATTCACATTTCACCATTCTGCATTGTTTCAGGAAATGAATTATTAGTGTCAGTTCTGAATGTTGTTGACTTTCTGTTACTTTCAGGAAACCGGTAAATTAGTAGGATCAGTTGTAAATGTTTTCAACTGTGGCCCAAGCCATCTTTTACAAGTGAAGCTGGATTCTGGTGAAACCAATTGTAAATCTTCAAAAGCAGAAACCCATGGATCTAGTCGCCTTGTATGGGTTCCATTTGCCGAGGCCATTGTTCCTGATGTTGATATGGATAAAAGAGAATTGCATATTACACCTCCCAAGGGTCTGCTTGAGTTGAACCAACAGCTTGATGGAAGGTCAAAAAAAGAAAGACGTCAGCTGGTCTGGACAATCCCTATGCATGACACTTGCATTTTAATTGTGCATGAGAATACTGTATAGATTGCTATAAGCATATTTTCAAAATGTTTTTATTCATTTACCTCACAATGCACATTGTAATTGCTTGTTGTGTTGTTTAACATTATCATGATCCTTGACTACAAAATTTACCTTGGTTATGGTATAATTGGATTAGAAACTTTTTTAGATTTGTTATTTTTTAGTGGCCAAAAAATCAATTTTTGTTTTGGTCTCTTCTTCCAATTTTATATAGTTTGATATGAGCATTCACACTTCCATTGTCCTACTTTTTGGTAATTATCCTTGCTTTACATTATTTTTTATCCTCTACACATGGCCTGTTGTGATCCCTTTGATTTGGTTTTGGTCTGAGCATGGTTCTAGAAACTATGAGAGTAGTTAGTGTTGCAAGGCATATTAACCATCCAATTTGAGATTTGTGATGATAATAATAAACTAAAGCACAGCCAATAGGACAAAGCGTTTGAATGTTGATGTATGGAACCAAAACTTCAACCATGCATTCATCGGATTATTGTTCAAAGCACACATGAACTATGGACGACATTCAGTCTCCGGTTCTAGTTTCCAAATAACTTAAATCAAAATCCATAATTGTTTCAGCCAATTTATAAGTCACATAGTTATACACTTTGAATATTAGTATTTGATTTTGTGCCTTTACAAAAAAAAAAAATCAAGTTCTATGAGGGTGGAAACAAGATTTGATGTTTGGTTAGTTGTTGTTTTTTGCATCTATGAAACATGGTACTTGTTGTTCGTAAGTCTGGACTAGAAAACAATCGAATTGAGTATCGTTATATGTGGAAACCAATTTCAACAAGTATAGAATCGAGATTCACCAATTGCGAAATCAAGAATCAGTAAATATTAGGAACGCGATTCTAAGTGTTGGAATCAAGATTCCAGACTTCATAGAAACCGGTTTTGTGAAGATTCCTTGTCGGAATTTCCTAATTGGGGTTCCAAAGCGGTATCGCGACCTTCGGTGAGAGATTCAGGTAACTTTAATGTGGACTTTAAGCATAAAATAACCTAAATGAATATCAAGAAAAAATATTTATTCATTTAAAATGCAAATGCTGAAGTATTAAGGTAAGACAATTTTTCTGTTGTTAAATACGTAGACCTATATTTTGTTGTTGTCAAAAAATAGTGTCCGGTGTAAGTGGCCGGATTGCAGATACCTGGTGTGATAATTTGAAGCTCTTTACAAAAGCGGCTCCCCCTTGTTGCTCGAAATCTTATTTGCCAGTGTAAGTAGCGAGCATCATGCAATCAAGTCTTATATTCGTGAGGATTTCACCGATGAGTACTTAGAGCATCCAGATTGTGTGTAGGGTCAATTGTCAATTGCGCAATCAACTTTTGAACGTGATCAACAACATGATCTTCTGCAGTTTGAGGAAAACATACTACACATTATTCGTTCTTGTCAATTCCCTATCCACTTAGAGGTCCTTGGTTCAACACCATCTATTTGTAATCATGGAATATAGAATGCACATCCACAAATACAAATGTGCATGCTCATTGAGGTCAGAAGGAATGAAAATTGTGTCAGAATAATAATTTCAAAGTAGTTCAATGCCCAAGTACGTAGCAGTAATAGGAAAAACTAGGAGCAAATGCCTTTTAAGGCCACATACTTTCTACATCCTTTATACCGAAACCTTGCTGTTGCCCTTCTCCTGGTTTTTCCATAGAACTTTGGATGAACACATACCTCTTTCTCTCCACCTCTTTGTTCAGACTTGATACTGGCAACTCTTGCTTTTCTCTCCCTTGCAATTAATCTTCTATTGTCTTCCCCCTTCTTTCACACCAATGTCTACGGATGTGATGTAGTAAGACTCAAAGAAAGCAAGAAAATCTCAAAAGAGGGAGAGTGCAACAACCATTAATCATCATAGCTCTAGAACTCAAAAGTTTTACTGCAATTTCAGTAAAATTTCTATCCCCCTTTACATTGGCCACGTAATAGTCTTTTATAAGCATATGATCACCTAAAATTAACTTGAGAACTTAATAAAAGTTTAAGACTCTAAAATACCCTAATAGTTGATAAATACCAAAAAACTCAATTTAACGCTAAACTTCATCACTATTTTCAGGCATGTACTTTAAACTAGGATTTAAGGCGCAAAACAACAAAATTATGAAAAAAACCTAGAAATAGCCCTTGCAGATAACTAAGAGGCTTTCCAATTAAAACTTTAAGCATCGACAATAGGACAAAGGAGTGAATAGTTACGATCCTCGGATAAGGATTGCATCATTCACCCCTTCTCAAAAGTAACTTGTTCTGGAGCTCTCTATGAGATCCCTCCATTTTAAGAGTTATGTTCTACGTGCTTCTAATTGTACTTTTGAATTCATTTTTGGTAGCTGGTGGTGTTGTCCCGCCATTCTTTTTGTTTCTCCTTCAGTGGAGATCCATATAATTTTATTTTGTTTCTTCATTGCAATCTGAAAAGACACCAGCAGACGGATTTTCTTCTAAAGTTTGTGGAAAATATCCATTTATAGGGTAGTTAGTGCAAATCACAGGCAGCTCATAATCACACAACATGTCTTCAGGGTTTGCAGTGTGATGGATCATCAGATCCATTAGTTGATTCAACATTTCAGTCAAGCCCACCATCGATTGCAACCCGGGTCTTGAGGTACTCGTGCAGCTATCAGGCCTCTAATCTGGCATGATCAGGCCTACGTTGATACCACTTTAATGCAATGACAATTGAAGAAAGTGAGAAAATCTCAAAAATGGAAGAGCATAGCAATCATTAATTGAGCATCACAACTCTAGAACTCAAAAGTTCCATTCCGATTTCAAAAACTCATTTCCTTTCACAATGGCCACATAATAGTCTATTTATAAGCGATGTGAAACCCTAAAATTAACTTGGAATCCAAATAAACAATTTAAGACTCTAAAATACCCTAATAATTAATAAATACCTAAAAAGCTCAAATTTTAAAATTTGTCACTATTTTCAGGCATGTACTTCAAACTAAGATTTGAAGCCCAAAACAGCAAAATTATGAAAATACCCTAGCAGTAGCCTTTGTAGAGAACTGAAATATCTTCATTTTGGAACTTGAAGCACCACAATAGGACACACGAGTCAAAAGTTTTGATCTTCAGATAATGACTGCATCAAGGTGCTTCCTTTTCTCTGATGGAACTGTTGAGACCTCTTGACATGTGCAAAGAAAGTGTATCTTATTCATTTCTTATGTCTTCCCAAAACTCCAACACATGTAGGTAATCACATATAAATCTTTAACTGTTTTTATGCGAATTGAATATTTCTCCTTTCCTCAGTGTAATGTTTCCTTCGGCGGCCTCACTTTTGTGTATGAAAAAAGGAGCCCATCAATGATGCATAGACTGTCCAATTAGAATTATTGGCCTTAAAAGATACCGTTATAGACTTATGAGTTATCAATACATTGATAACTCACCTCTCAATGAGATTCCTGTGCACTAATAGTATAGGCTGGGTTTGTTCAATTGATGCATGTTGGCTTTCAGCTTACCTGAGATCTTATTCTTGCAGATGAATGGAGTATATTTTAGTGTTTTCTTTCTATACTGAACCATTGATAGGATCGTAGGATTTTGGTTTGTTGTAATATCTTGTCATGAAAATTGTTGCTATTTGTATGATTGTGATAGATATTGGTAAAGGCTATGCTTGAAATGGTAGCTATGGTGAAGGACCTCCACTAAGGAGTGACTTCAAAATTGCAAGTGCTGGCCACTCAATGTTTATGGAGAAGGATCGATTGTTTGCATTTATTGGATGAGCAGGAGTGACAAATGGGATATTTCTTTAATGGAGATATTTGTTCTTCAATGCAAACCAGCTAAACTTATTCTTCAATGCAAACCAGATAAACTTTTGCGGACTTCTTATTTGGAAAATTGGCAAGGCATTTAGAAAGTGTTATTCTCTGGACCATGTAGCTTTTCATTTTGTTCAGTTGTTGTTATCAAACTCTATACATTCTTATTTAGCAAACTGTGGTTCAAACATAAAATTAAATTCAACTTAAGGTTGGTTAGTTTTTACTGTAGCATTCATATTTTGTTCAGACAGTTGATTATTTGGTGAAATTTCCCAGGAATGGAAGGAAAGAAGAAGAGCACAGCAGCGCCTTCTAGTGACAAAAAAGAAGTTGAGTGAACTTGGACAAAAACATATCATGTATGGACTTTCATCAGGTGACAAGGCCCAAAAGACCTCACTTGTGAATCAGATTTTGAGTATCAACTTGAAGCTTTTTGGACACGCATTGGAAGATATATGTAATTCAGTTGAAAGGTATTGGGGACTTACTATGCTGTTTGAGTTGAAGAGCTCCGGAAATTAATCTCAATAGGTTTTGTGAACTGCAACTTTCTTCTTCCTCAGTGTGACTGTATAGTTAAATCTCCTTTCTTTTCAGTTAGTGCTGGCTATTTTTACTTTTTATGCTCCACATTAATTTTGGATGTTGTGATCGAAGGTAATTCAGTGACGCCAACCCTAAGCAATTGGAAGTTCCCTTTCCTTTTCCTTTTGTTTTGCTTGGTATATGATGCAGCCCAGAATACCGCTCTCGAGTATTTAGATAAGAGAGACAAGCTTAAAGTTTACAAAAGGAACCGCAAAATGGCAAAATAGTCATTGAACCTGTCCTTTAATGTCTTTTATTTATTTTCTGAGTCATTTTATTTACTTAGGGGCGTATGCAATAATTTGTAGGGTCTTTTATGTCTTCTTTTCACTAAAGTCTTTAATAATAAATGGCCATTATTAGATTAGGTGGATGGCCAAGATTAAGTCTTGTTTAGCGTTCTTATATTAGAGATGTACTCAAGCATAATGAAGCATCTTGTTAGGGACTTATATTCAAAACCCTAGAGTAGCCTGTGCTCGTGCTCTTATATCTGATTTTTTAATATTTCTCTAATTTTGGATCTTCCCTATCTTCTTCATTGTTAAACCCTAGCTCCAAGCTACTAGACCTGCACCAGATTGGTATTAGAGCACAACTATCTGTACGATATTGTAGTATTGTGCGATATTGTAGCACAATAATGTCGCACTATGTAGACGATAGTATAACATCGATTATTGTGCCCTAGATCAACAACCATACCTCCACATACAGGAAAAGTAGCAAAAGTGACAACCATAGAAGCCTTTGATGCTAGTTCGTGAGAAAGGATTGCAAATCTGAGGAGATTGGTCAAAACCAAAGCTTTGCGCTTGGTGTAGATGGAAGCACTATCTCAGGAGGATGAGATCGAGGCAGATGAGGAATCCAAGAATCCCCTCCATGATCAAGCTCCGAGGACAGAGGTAGGTGATCATACTAATAAGAATAGTAGGAAGTGGGAAATTGATCTCAAGGTTGAGATCTTGCAGTGTTATGGAAGTTTATCCGAGGACAATCATAGAGAAACTTTGTTCTTATCAAAAAGTTCTTAAGACGAGCACGTTGTGGATTGGGACTCACCATCAGTTCTTGGCAAGTACTTCAATAAAGATTTGGATGTTGCAAAAGAAGTGGGTGGTCATTGCTCTAATGGTGATCCAATCCATAAAGAAGATCAAGAAGAAGATCTTACCATTGGAGAGGATTTTGGATATGCTCCTATTCTAAATGAAGAATAGGGTGGATGTCAAGGAGTTGTTCCTTGATATAACTACGAGGAGAATGGCATTGACGGAGGCAGTGGTTAAAATTTTGATTGTCCAGCCATGTAGGCGGCAAGTTACCTAAAACACCTAGGCAAAGCCTAGGCGGGCAAGGCGTCGCCCAGGTGCTACAGTCAAGGGCGGAAAAATGGCCTCGGCTATGGTCAAAATAGTAATTCCCCCCCCCCTTACCCCTCCCCCAAAAAAAGGGGGGAAAAAGGTTTTTGGGGGACATTCTAAACCCCCAAAACCAAATCGGTGCCATCTAAAGAGAGAAAGACCCCCCCAAACCCCTATTGTGTGATTTATCGAAAGATCGATAAATGTTCAATTCTTTCAATTTCTTTTGAAATCAAAGGCAATGCTTCGTGGTAATTTTCAAAGCTTCTAGTGGTCATTAGTGTGGACTTTTGGCGATCCAATAGATGAGGTTTGGGCCAACATTGTTTTCATTTTGATAGTTTTAGAGCATTATGCCATTATGATAATTGAATAAGGGTTTTGAGTTTTTTTGCTGTAATGTATTATGTTTTGAATCATTTGATTTTTCTAATTTTTAAATTTTTTTTCCTTTTTCGATATCTTTACATATTTGCAGTTGAAAATTTATAATTCGTTTGGATGATGAAATTAGTCCTATATCGAATTCTTTTATGAATAATTGGTTCTTATTTTGTACAATGTATGATGTTTTGATATCCTATTGGTTTTGTTTTACTTTTTTTATATTTTTACATATTTGTAGATGGAACATTTACTGACTTCGACTTATATTTTGTGAATAGTCATGAACATTGGATGAAATTTATATTTGTGAATATTTGATGTCCAAAACCAAATCTTATGATATTAATTAATAAGTAATAATTATATTCTTATGGATATTAATTAATAAGTAATAATTATATTTAAATTTTATCTTAATTAATAGTCCCTACCCGGCTACGCCTTTTTGAACATTGGACAAAGGTAATGATGATGTTGTTCTTCGAGTTTTACCTGAATTTAAGGTATCAAGTATGGTTCACACCAAAGATTTCAAGGTATTTTCTCCTAAGCTCTCTGCTGGTGAGTTTAATATAGGAGATACTCATCAAAGGGTTGTTGAAATCATTCTTTATGAGTGAACTCCGGCTGAGTTGTTGCTTTGTGTTGATGGAGGAACCAAATCTGTTCCGTATCATCTTCCCCGAAAACCTAAACCTAAGGAGCATAATATTTGTATCTCGACCTCACCAAATTTAGCAAGTACGAGCCTCAAAGTTTAAAGTTTTTCTTGCATCCTAAGGAATAGCTTTCCTCGGTTATGTTTATGGTTGATAGTGTTGCACACTTGTATCGCAGCAGTGTTAGTTTTCAATTTGCACAAAACGTGATGGATGAGATGTCTATGAGAGACACCATGACCGGGAAAACATTGATATTTAGTTATTTTAAATTGTGTATTTTTGAGGTTGAGTTACAATGCTTCCAAGAGATGCAAAACTCAGGGTTTTGATCTTCTCAATTTCCTCTTGCTAGTATTGCTACATCAAAGTTGTGTAATGGAAGATTAGAGAGCATGGAGGCTGCTAAGCATACCCATGCTAAAGCTCTGAAACATGGGTTTGGTTGTAGTCTTTGCACTGGCTTTGCATTTTCATCAGTTCATTACTAGATTGGCAAGCTCCTTTCAACACATTAAATGCTCAATCTTACAAGTCATAGAGGTGAGATTTTCTACAAGGTTATTTTGAATGGATATCTCTGAGGACGTATGATTAGAAGTGATTCAAGAGTCTTCCCTCCTATGCTTGTTCCTGGTTCTAGACCAAGTTGTTCTGAATATCATAAGTTGAGCCATCACATGATTGGATCATGTAAAGTGATGCAGAAGATTAATGACAATGCCTACAAATTGAAACTTCGCAACTATATTCGCACTTCCAATGTTTTTAATGTCAAGCATCTCACTCCATATCGGGATGATACCTTGCGACGACAAATCACCGAATTCAAGGGCGAATTCTTTTGAGGAATGCGGGACTGATGCAGTCTAGAATATTGCTCTTGAGTATCTAGACAAGAGAGACAAGCTTAAAGTTTACAAGAGGAACCGTGGAATGGCAAAATAATAATTGAATATGTCCATTTATGTCTCTTATTTATTTATTGAGTCATTTGATTTACCTAGGGCCATAAGTAATAATTTCTAGAGTCTTTTATGTCTTTTTATTCACTTAATGTCTTTTATAATAAATAGTCATGATTAGATTAGGCGGATGGCTAGGATTAAGTTTTGTTTAGGGTTTTTTTATGTAAGAGATGTACTCAAGGTTAATGAAGCATCTTGTTTATGGACTTCATTCAAAACCGTAGAGCAGCTAATGCTAAGTCTTTTGTCCCTGGTTTTTTAATCTTTCTCTAATTTTAGATCTTTCTCATCTTCTTCTTTGCTATACTCTATCTCCAAGCTACTAGATCTGCACTAGTAGGCAAATAAGAAATTAAACTAATAAGAATACTGGGTTTGAGATTAATGTATCTACCTGAAAGAAATTGCATATATCATTGTATCATAAAGACTTGCTTCTGGAGTGTATGTAATATTCCTCAAATGTAAAAATACGAGTAACTGTTTCTAGTGTGGGTCTACTTTGGACCTTAGATGTCAAAGCCATGTACTTAATATGGGCTTCCAGTTTTAGAACCTTGGTTCTGCTCCTGCTCTTGTTCCCAAACAGCTGTTTCTAGATGTATGTTATTTAATTCTTCTTAGCATGGGGATTCCCTTCTCTCCTTTGTTCTCCCTCCCCTACTCCCATTTTTGCTGGTTACCTATGTGACTATACTAGTATATGAGATGTTAAACACAATTATCTATGCATCACCAAGCACAGCTGCTAACTCCTGGCAACATGCTTCTCTACTGCCTAGCTGTTTAAACAAATTTTATTTAATTTAATTTATCCTTAACGTTCTGCCAAATTGATTTGAGATTTTTGTCCTAGGGTAAACCAATGAGGTGGATGTTTTATAATTATCAACCGAATGTAACTGTTTTTGGCAGTCTTTACATTAAACTTTCCAAAAAAAGCTCGTATACCACTCAAGATGCATTGCAAATGCCAAAGATGACCTTCTTGGTAGTCAATTAGGAAAACGCCAGATTTTGTATGTGAGTTTTTTCTGGACCAGTGAGTTTTGTTGATTTCATCGGTTTAACATGATTGCAATCATCTTCGTTCTTTGAGAACCTAAAAAATGATATAAATGCCCATGATTAGAATGGCCCAAAACTAAATTGAACATGAAATTAGCAGCAGATGAAATAAATGGATAACAATGTGCAATGAACTGAATATTTGAAAACTTAATTAACATAAAAGTGGCGATGCCCAGGTTCGTAAAGAACGGTTCTCTCTCCATTGATTCAAGTGCTTCCCTGCCAAGAAAATGCATCATCGTCTGCTAAGCTGTGCCCTTCCTTATTTAAGGAATCACTTATTGCCCTGCGTCCCGTGTCTAGCAGCACTTCCTTTGAGTACCTCACCTCCCTAGGCTCCTGCTTTGATCCAGACATTATCTGTCTCATTCCTCCCTTGGCGTGCCTTGGCCCCCTGCCAGAAGAACAAAATCTCATTTCTACAGGCTTAAACCCTTTTGTTAATCTCAATTCTCCTTTGCATCAAGTTCCCAATATTGTCACCATACTCTACCAAAACAAAATGATCAACACAAATTATTTTGAAATCCTCTTAAGTGGGTCTTTTGCCTGAGGGTCTAGATTTAGCTATAAATGCAGCCAATACAACACTGTGATTCAATGTATTTAGTTTGATTTGATATATAGTGCTTCTCTGGTTAGTGGCAAAAATTTAAAATATTTGAAACTGTTTTGCCATTTTCGTTAACATGATCTTCTGAGCTATAAAAAATACTGTTGAAATGAATCCAACAGAGGTTTTCAGTTAATGACTATTTCTCATTATTATTTCAAACTTGTAGAAGAGGTACTGTATTGGACTTCATGAATGCAAATTCAGCTATAATATCGAGGAACACGTTCAGAATGCCACGGGATTGCCTTTGTCTACCTCAATGGAAAGATGAAAAAGACAATTTGTATCCACTACAAGAATTGGCAACACATCTCCTTTCTGAAGGGAAAATTGCTTTTCTTCTGACATTGGATGATAGAAGCAAATTCCAAAGTGATTGCAAACCTGATCTTATGTTTTCTGGTGCTGCAAATATATCAGATGAAGTTCAGCATCGAGAGGTCCACTTAATAGGCCAAAAAATTTCAAAGTTGGTATGCTATTTCTGATGAATACTTTATATGTTTGAAGTTAACTGGGTTATGTCGAACTCCAGTGGAAGCAAAGACACTTTGCCATTAGTCTTTCACCATCACTTTTTATTTTATTGAAAAGCTGAATATAACCTGATTTCTTAACTTGAATTTCATTCCTGGCTCGAATTATTAATTTCTGTGCCCTTGAAGACAAAATAGAAACTTTAACTAGCTCCTATCATGTGCTTTGGGCGTTTAATTGCGATAACAATGAAAACAATTGTCTTTTTTTGGTTTAATTGTGCATGCATAAGTCTGTTTTCATTGATTTGTGCAAGGTTTGGTCTGTTTCGTTTACCTTGGTGTATAGCAGCAACAAGCAGTACTAACGTGTTTTCTACTTGTAAGAAGCTATTGTGGTGAGAAAAAGCCATGCTTTTGATAGCATGGGACGAGTTTGTGCACCAACTCATCATTTCTGTGATGAGTAACCGAGTTAGTTGGTTACTTTCTTTTCAGAAAATGCTTAGAGAACATAAATAATCCCACTGACCAAGCAATCGCAAAGAGAATGGCTGTCAACCTTTGTGGTTGACAAATGAAAAAAATAAGAGGTTTAAGGCAATCTTGATGGCATTGGAATGTAACTTGAAGTCTTGGAGTGGATATGGTGGTCATGGACTTGAACACTGCATTTTGATTCTCACCTTGCCAAGAATCAAAAAGGCTCGTAGAAAAGCAAATAAGAGATTGTGGATCTTTTTCCAGTGGTAGAAATTGCCTAGTCCAATTCAGCAATAGTTGTCGACTGGATAATATTCAATGAGGCCCGAAAAAGTCCATGTCTAAGTGTAGATCTGGCTTATGTCTAACAAGCTCATGTACTTCAACTATGTGAGGTTTGTGTGTGAAGAAATTGGCGCAATAACTAAACAACATGAGATATATCTAGCCCCTAGCATTTTGATGGTATAAAATAAACAAGATTTGTTTAATTCACTTCGTTTCTTTTTGTCCAAGTCACTTCTCTTTTTGTCTTAGTCACTTCCGCATCGGCCTTTTGCGTGCAAGATGGCCACCCAGTAGCCTATGAAAGCCGGAAGCTCAATGACAACCCTGCTGCTGGATTTCAGTTGTGGAAGGTCAATAAGTGAATCCCATTGTGATGCAGCAAGTTGAGTTTTTAGCACGATAGTATGTCAATTAATAATTATCCATTAGATGAGTTGTTGAGATAAGATCTTGTGCGTGTTGTTCTAGGCATTGTGATACCTTTGGAAGACATTATAATCTGAGGTATTAAGAAGATCCTGTTTCTTTCATCTAAAGCTGCTGCTGTAAGCTTCCACAAAATAATACGCTCATCATTGCCTGTAATAAGTATGTGCACATATACCAGTAAGTCAATTTCTTGCCTCCAGTATGTGTTACAAGGAGGGAGGATCCTGTAAACAGTTTAACTGTACTGTATTGTGACCTCCTGAAATTTCTTGAACATGGACTAGGAGCTTGTTGGAGACCCTGGATATGAAAGAAGTGGCTATGTGGAATTCCAGGGAATAAAATGAAAAAAAATTCATTTTCTTTTATTAATATAACTGAATTCCACTTACCATTGTCACACAATGATGCTGTACATAAGAAACAAGGGCAAGCTTTCTATGCTTCCCCTGCAGCATAAGACTTATATACTTCCCGTTATCCAACCGTCCATTTGAATGGATGGCTAAGATGGCTCCAATCACAATGTCGCATCTCTACACTATTTTATTTTTAATTTTTTTAAATTATTTTGACCCCAAATTTTGGGCATCCGCACCTCTCTTAAACTCGCACCTGCAAAAAATACAACAAAATAGTTCCAATAAAATAAAATGACTAAAATACCCTTGAAAGTTTCATGGGGTATTTCGGTCATTATATTTTATTGAAAAGAAATTTAAACTATTTTTGGTAGGCGCACCCCATTTAGAAGATGACATGTACCAAATTTCATATTCATAAAATTTGTAAAAAAAAAATTAAAAAAAAATACTCTTGAGGCATCGAATGTAGATCAAACGGTGAGTGGTTCACTTGATTTAAATTGGATGGCTGGATGGTAGGGGAAGCATATGTCTTTTATGCTGTAGGGAAAGTATAGAAACCTTTCCCAAGAAACAAAACCCTAAATACAACCTAGAATCTTTCGTGTTATTGCCAAATAAATATTGACCCAATCGAAGGGCTGAATACAAACTTTAATTGTGAATTCGAATATAAATAATATTCCTGGAAATTGCAATAAGTTAAGCAGTAATGACTGAAAATAAACTAAGAATAGTGGGGAAGACTTACTTGAGTTAGCCTAGTATCACCGCCTTAGGACTTGATACTCTCTGCATCTGATTACCTGGTCGATGGTGCACTTTGATCGTAATGGCCCCACCGAATTCTCTAAATTTGGAAGTTCATTAGGCAATACCTTTTCAAATCTAGTTCTTAAGAGCATAAAAGAAGAATGGAGTTTTTTTAAGACCCTTTTAGGAACTTCTAGGGCATGCCACAAGTGGCAACCTCTCTTGGACAATTATGGGCTGGGCTTATCCCTCTCTGTATTCCCTGGGTGGTGCGTGCCTACCGTAGGTCTTCATGGTGGTATGAGCCACCTCTTAGACGGAGAGAGACTAGAGAGTTGAGAGAGAGAATGGCATGGAGGCAAGAGAATGAGATGAGAGAGAGAGAATGGCATGGAGGCAAGAGAATGAGATGAGAGAGAGAGAGAGAGGATAAGACATTTAGATGGTGAGAATGAGGGAGGGCTACCCTCTATTTATAGCTTTCAATGGGGCCTAGGTATGCCTATTTGATTTAGAATTCCTCTTGGCCATAGGACTGCTAGGTAATATATGAGGTGCGAGAGAAACAAATCTAAGCCATCTATTGAAAAAATCAGCCATCATAAGGAGGAATTTAGAAACCTGATCCCCTGAATCTTTGAACCACACTTCTAGTCAACCTAGGATATGACTAGTCAAAACTCATTTTCCATTTTGACTAGAATTTCTTTTTCTCTCACAAAAGATTGTAGGAATTCAAAGTAAAAAGCATTTAGTCATATTCAAAGAATTGAAAAAATATTTTGCAAAGACAAAATATTGTCTACTCCCACAAAATATGTCACATCTTTTTTCAAATATTTCCTCAAAATATCCTTCTAACAGAAATTCTTTATTTTTTAAAAAAAATTCAAGAAGAGAAGGAAAAAGGGAGCCACAGGGGGGGGGAGATAGGGGTGGTTCCCACCTCTATGTGTGATGTGTGGGCCCTATGCATCACGTCCCACACATGTGGGTGTGATGCACGTTTGGGGCTGGATCCAAAGGACCCCCCACATGTTTCTTCTAGCTCCTCCACAATTCCAGAAATTATGATAACACCCTTTAAAGGTTTTTTCACTAGTGAAAATGATTTTAAAAATTTTGGAAAATGCTAATAATCTCAAAAATATTTCTTAAGCTGAAAATAAAATTTCTAGAAGTGGATTGGTACCAATGGATGAAGAAAAGTGAATGTCAGGGCATTCCACCCCACCTAGTAACCTTGATCCTCGATTATCTTCAAAACCAACCGAATGTGACCCGTGACCCATGACCCACAATCTCATGCAATGGAGCATGATTAGTTTGTCAAAGTTAGCCAATAAATAGTGAAATCACGGTCTCAGAATGTGGATTATGGTTTCCCCTAAGAGCAAGACAGTGCACATATCTCTATAGTGCAGAGGAGGCCTCTCTCTATGCACATGTACATGAATCTGTTTGCAAGGTTGCTTCTTGGATAATATTTAAAATGTATAAGTTTTATGTAATGTTTGTATCTCAAAATATAAGTGCATTCTCCTGGATTTTTTTAACATTATTCACCGGTGCGTACTGCATTTGTATCAATCTTGATATTATTGCTTCGCTGATTGCCTATGTTATGCGGTTCTTTGGTCACCGAGAGCTTAGTGATGATTCATTTAGAAAGTGGAATTGAATAGATATAGAGCTACATGGATCAAGAAAATAGAATGCTAATGTAGAACTTAAAGCATTTATGCCTCATGATGTGAGAGTTGATATCAGGTGTTCTTAGGACTGTAAAGCATCAATGTGATGTTGCCTGATGATGTCATTTTAATGATGTGCAGGTTGCAGAGTATCCTTCAGCCATTTTTATTATTTTCTGTCCAACTAATGAAACCTTATCCTTGAAAGACTTTTTTGAAGAGTACAACTATTTTAGTCATGACCGAGAAAAGGTTGACACACCTACATAGTATGCTTTACGGGTTCTTCTTTCTTATTTAAGTACCAATTTTACCATATCACATGCTATATTACTTGCTTTTATCACAATAAATGGTTGATTGTTAGTTCCTATTATCTTTTAACATTATATTGTAAATAATTAGACAAACCTGGACAATTTGCATTGAATTCAACTAACAGAATAAACTGTGAAGAAACCTGAGACCTTAATAAGAAGTTTGTGCATGTAATTACATTTTGCAAAACTATGTATTGCTGCCTACCTTTCCACTAGAGATAGAGAGAGAGAGAGAGAGAGAGAGAGAGAGAGAGAGAGAGGAGGGAGGGAGGGAGGGAGGGAGGGAGGGGAGGGGAGGGAGGAGGAGGTAGGTAGTAGTACGTCGTCGTCGTAGTAGTACGTACTAGTAGTAAGTAAAGTACGTCGTACGGACGGGTCGGTACGGACGGACCTACGTAC